AAAAAAAAAAAAAAAGAACTAAAGACCTTAAATGTAACATAAATTATTAGACTTTTTCTTTCTTTATATTTTGCATATTCTGTATCTTAAGAAATTATTACCAACTGTGAAGACAGATTTGCCTCTTTTTCACAAAAGGATTTGAAGCAGATATCTGGCCCATCATGTTTTTCTTAACAATTCAATGCCTTTGAAGCTGAGTTAGATTTCTTATACCAATTGAGAGCTAAAAACTGAAAGGGAAAAGTCTTTGTTGTATTAAGGTAAAGAGAAGCTTGGTTCTGTGAGGAGGTAATTAGAGGCAAAGACAATTCAATGTGATTACACATATAGTGAGTGGTCTGTCTATTGCTCAAAAGTAAAAATATCTTTAGTTTCAGATTCCCTTTATTTCTGCTTTTTGTTTTGTAGATACAAGTCAAATTCTGCTCAACTGCTTGTTGAAGCTCGAGTTCAGCCTAATCCATCAAAACATGTGAGTGTCTCTTACCTTGAGTGGGCTTCCTCCTGATGCACATGGCTCTTGCTTTGGCTTACAGTGTTATTGAGAACCATCTTTGATGCTGGGTGTGGTGACTCATACCTGTAATCCTAGCACTCAGGGCGGCTGAGATGGGTGGATCGCTTGAGCTCAGGAGTTCGTAACCAGCCTGAGCAAAAATGAGACTCCATTTCTACTAAAAAAAATCTTGAGGCAAAAGGATCACTCAGCCCAAGAATTTGAATTTCTGTGAGCTGTGATGCCATAGCACTCTACAGAGGGTGACAAAGTGAGACTCTTTAAAAAAATATATATAGCCAGGTGTTGTGTTGGGTGCCTGTAGTCCCGGCAGGCAGTCCCAGCCTTGGGAGGCTGAGGCAAGAGAATCACTTAAGCCCAGGAGTTGGAGGTTGCTGTGAGCTGTGACGACATGGTACCCTACCCAGGGCAATAGCTTGAGGCTCTGTCTCAAAAAAAAAAAGTCAGGTCTTGGCGGTGCCTGTGGCTCAGTGAGTAGGGTGCTGGCCCTACATACCGATGGTAGTGGGTTCAAACCTGCCCCCTGCCAAACTGCGACAAAAAAATAGCGGGGTGTTTTGGCAGGCGCCTGTAGTCCTTGCTACTTGGGAGGCTGAGGCAAGAGAATCACCTAAGTCCAAGAGCTGGAGGTTGCTGTGAGCTGTGATGCCACGGCACTCCACCAAGCGTAACAAAGTGAGACTCTGTCTCTTAAAAAAAAATAGTCAGGCCTTGGCACCCTAGCACAGTAGTTAACGGCGTTGGCTATATACATGTAGGCTGGTGGGTTCAAAACTGGCCCAGGCCAGCTAAAGAACAATGACAACTGCAACAAAAAAAAGTAGCTGGGCATTGTGGCCAGCGCCTGTAGTCCCAGCTACTTGGAAGGCTGAGGCAAGAGAATTGCTTGAGCCCAAGAATTTGAGGTTGCTGTAAGCTGTGATGCCATGACACTCTGCCTAGGGCAACAGAGTTAGAGTCTGTCTCAAAAAAAAAAGAGAGAAGTACTCATTTCAGCCATGTGTCTGAATCCTAGTGATTCTTCAAGTTTAGCTCAACTACCATCTTCTTAGGAAGCCTGTTGGTGTATACTTTCTGCTTTGCCCCTTGAAACTCAGAGTCTATACATAATAGTTTACCTCTGACACTTATTAATTAATTAATTAATTAATTTTGAGACAGAGCCTCAAGCTGTCCCCCTCACAGCTCACAGCAACCTCCAACTCCTGGGCTCAAGCGAGTCTCCTGCCTCAGCCTCCCAAGTAGCTGGGACCACAGGCGCCTGCCACAATGCCTGGCTATTTTTTGGTTGCAGCTGTCATTGTTGTTTGGCGGGCCAGGCTGGACTCGAACCTGCCACCTTAGATGTATGTGGCTGGCGCCTTAGCCACTTGAGCCACAGGCACCGAGCCTACCTCTGACACTTATTGCAGGGTCATTATTACCTCTCATGCACCCAACTTCGCAAGGCCTTGTGGCCTCTTGGATCTAAGGCTCTTCTTTGATTGACATGGCTCTACTTCTCTTCAGGTCCCCACAGCCCATCCCTCTCACCATTGTGCAGTCTGTATGCAGTTTGTACGCAAGGAAAACCTACTCTCTCTGGCCTGTCAACACCAGTTTTGCCGCAGCTGCTGGGAGCAGCATTGCTCAGTACTTGTCAAGGATGGCGTGGGTGTGGGTAAGTGTGCCATAGAACTTATAAAAATCTGGCCTGAAGTGTTTTATCTTTGACCCTGAGTTTTTATGTACTCAAGTAAACTGTCTTTTTTCCTGGGGCTGATTGAGGTATTTATTTATTTATCTATTTTTTAAGACAGAGACTCAACTATGTCACCTTGGTAGAGTGATGTGTCGTCACAGCTCACAGCAACCTCAAATTCTTGCAGTTAAGCAATTCTCTTGCCTCAGCCTCCCAAGTAGCTGGGACTACAGGTGCCTGCCACAACACCCAGCTATTTTTGTTGTTGTTTAGCTGGTCCAGGCTGAGTTTGAACCCGCCACCCTCAGTATATGTGGCTTGTGCTGTAACCACTGTGCTATGGACACCAAACTGATTGAAGTATTTATTGTCAGAACTAGTGATTTCCAAATATAATAGTTTAAGCAGGAAAAGTTTTCCTTAATCTTCAGCAAAATAAAAAAAATTAAAGGCCAGGCGTGCTGGCTCATACCTGTAATCCTGGTACTTGGGAGGCTAAGGTGGGTGGATTGCCTGAGCTCACAGATTTGAGAATAGCCTGAGCCAGAGAGAGACCCTGCGTCTAAAAACAGCTGGGCATTGTGGTAGGCGCCTACAGTCCCAGCTACTTGGGAGACTGAGGCAAGAGAACCACTTGAGCCCAAGAGCTTGAGGTTGCTGTGAGCTATGATGCCATAGCACTCTACCATGGTCAACAAAGTAAGACTCTGTCTCAAAAAAAAAGAAATTAAAGATATAAATGTTAGTGTCAGTATAAGTCTACCTTCTCTCACCTTTTGGGAGAATGGTCCTTCTAAGCCAGGTGTCCTCAAACTACAGGCCCTCAGGCCACATAGGGCCTGCCGAGGACATTTATCTGGCCTGCCGGGTGTTTTTGCCACCACTGCCTGTCCTGCTTAGCAACCAACTCGTCCCAGGGCCTGCAGTCTGGCCCTCCAACAGTCTGAGGGACAGTGAACTGGCCCCCTGTTTAAAAAGTTTGAGGACCCCTGTTCTAAGCTTTCTGCTTTACCTTGATTCCTCAAGTGGCAGCCATAACTCAGGAACACCCATAAGAGTTTGCTGCTATTTAGGTAATGTAACACAAATCAAAAATGATACAAGAGTATTTATTATATTTTGACTTTATATTGAAACTAAATATCATCACATTAATTAGTATCTACAACATACTGTAGTTGGGGATAACCACATGCACAGATTTTTAAACTTCATAAAACTAAACTGTCATTAAAAAAAAACCAAAACTGACCTGTTAGTCAAAGCTGGGTACAGTGACTTACACCTATAATCCCAGCACTCTGGGAGGGTTGTTTCAGTGGATCCCTTGAGTTCAGTAATTACCAGCCCGAGCAAGAACAAGATCCCATATCTACTAAAAATGGGAAAATTAGCCAGTTTTTCTACTGAGCACCTGTAATCTTAGCTGCTTGGGAGGCTGAGGTAGAAGAACTGGTTAAATCCAGCAGTTTGAGGTTGCTGTGAGCTGGGCTGACACCATGCACTCTAGCCTGGGCAACAGAATGAGACTCTGTCTCAAAAAAATGAAGGAAAAAAAGTTAATTAGTGGTCCTATTGGTAATATGTATGTATAATTTGGGGTTATATTTTAGTTAGCACACTATGGAAATGTTAATTTTTCTCTCTTCTTTGAATAAATTTTGTTGCTTTAAGGGTTTCCTATTTGTAATCTGGATTTGTTTTAACCTCAGTGGGCAAGTATATTATCTTGTATATACTTGTATAACTGCAGTACAGTTGTATATCAGGTTGTCTTTGTTCAACAGGAGTCTCTTGTATGGCTCAGGATTGTCTACTCCGTACACCAGAGGACTTTGTGTTTCCATTGCTTCCCAATGAAGAATTGAGAGATAAATACAGGCGCTACCTCTTCAGGGACTATGTGGAGGTATGGCCCATCTCTGTCTTGCTGGCTCTACCTTCCATCAGATGCTTAGTACACTTATTTTATAGACCAGGTTACCATTAGGTACTGTCTTTTAAGAAAGAACTCCCAATGGCTTTACAAAGGTTTGAAAACTGTGAGAAAGGTAGTGAAGAACACTGGCCCTAGAGTCAGACAAATCAATGTGTGGAACCTATGTGTGTTGCTTCCTTGCTGTGTGACTGTTGACCCATTGTTTTACCTCTCTGTCTTGGTTTCCTTTTCTGTAGAATGGACAGGCATCTTCCCCTTATATGTAGTTGCTTAAGTAAACTATTGTATATAAAGGGATGAACACAAGTCAGGCATATCTCAGGAGTTGCTATTGCGTTCAGTTTACTGTATGATTCATCTCAGAGAAAAGGTATTACTTTTTTGAGCAATTAGAACAACTTGTCCAAGATTCCGGCATGGTCATTTTTGGAGTCCTTTCTCTGTATTGGGCTACCTATCTAAGCATATTGATTCCATGCAGCATAGTTTGTCTTTTATGCCTAAGCTTATTGGATTAATGTGTGGTCTGGTCTTCTCATGCATGTGCTGCAGGGTAAACAGAAAGCCTTGTTACACATTTTTGTGCTGTTTGCTGCCTTTGGTGGATTCCTGAGGGGCATCAAGCCCCTTACAGCTAAATCTTAACACACGGCTAACTGGGCTGTGTTCCAGTCCTGGTCCATATGCACTTTCATCTCACAGATGCAGTCATGTATTCTATTTTGTAATATAACCTTGGATCATTCTGGTGAGTTCCTACCTGGTTTAATCTAAACATTCAGAGGCCCTCTTCAGTATCTGACTAATGTCTGGTCTTCATGACTTCTGTCTTGAGTTCGTATAGTTCCTTGATACAGTCATCAGCTGGAAGGACAGAAGGTGTTTGAGTACTCAGGAGGTCTAATTTGGTGGCAGCAACTAGGGGATGTCCTTATTGTTTCCCCTTGGTGTGTTCACAGAGTCATTACCAGCTCCAACTGTGCCCTGGTGCAGACTGCCCCATGGTTATTCGGGTACAGGAGCCTAGAGCTCGTCGAGTACAGTGCAATCGGTGCAACGAGGTTTTCTGGTAAGAGTGAGTGGGTACTGCGCAGTCCTGTGCCTGTGCCCCATCCTCCTCCAAAGCATCTACTGCTCTGGCTGTGTATGAAAATGCGGATGGGAGAAGCGAGGTCTCTAAGCTAAAAGAGCAGCTCTACTCCAAGTAGGCAAGTTTGTGTCCAGCATCTCATGTTCACAAGGTGTTTGAGAAGTATTCATTCTAAAACTAAAAGTGGCACAGATTTTTGGAAAAATGTTTTATAGTTTATGCTACTAGGACTCAGTGACCCAGAGATAGCATGGGTATGTGTCTACGTGCACATATAATCCACTGTGTTTGAAACTACAGCCTTCAATGTTTTACTCTTTCTCTGTCTTAGCCTTTTTGGCTAATTTCTATAAAACTTAATTCATAAATAATATTGTACATCAGCTTAAGTTTCATATCATTTCATACATATCATGGGAATAATTAAAGTTTATTGAAGGCTTACTAGGTGACAGGCAATATCCTCATCTTTTTCCTTGTATTATCACAATTGTGTATTACCCTTGAGTTCTAGGTGAGAAAATGGAGGTGTAAGGTACACCCGCTAATAAATGGCAGAACTATAATTTAGGTCCAGATATGTCATCCTAATCATGCTTTCTTGGAAGATTCATGGTGGGGCTTCAGAGAATTACATGGAAAACATGTTTGTGTGCACACGTGCTACCTTTTAAGACATTGTTGAGGGACTCTGTGGCTCACCAAAAGTTAGTAATCCTAATATAAACTGGGCACCGTGGCTCAAGCCTGTAATCCTAACACTTTGGGAGGCCAAGGCAGGTGGATTGCTTGAGCTCAGGAGTTTAAGACCAGTCTGAGCAGGAGTGAGACCCTGTCTCTACTAAAAATAGAAAAGCTAGCCAGGCGTGGTGGTGGCTATAATCCCAACTAGCTGCTGAGGCAAGAGGATTTCTTAAGCCTAGGAGTTTAAGGTTGCTGTAA